CACCACTATCTTTGTCTACACTGACCGTCTTTATTTTTGTCCACCATCGTATTCGTCTCTATTTTGTCAACCGTCTTCACAATCACCGGTTTTGTTCACTATCATTTTTGTCCACCACCGTCGTCTCTCTTTTTGCCTCTATCCTTGTTTTTGTCCATAACCGCCGACAGTGTCTTTGTCCACAACCGTCGTCGCCATCTTCGACCACCATCGTTTCCGTCTCACCAACCACTACTGTCTCCGTTTTTCTCCACCACCTACTTTTTCATCTCTCTCTTGAAAGAGAAAGAGAGAGAGATCCGACGAGAACTCTAAAATGTGCTACTTATTCCATGGTTTGAGAGGTAAAATAGTCATTTCACCTCTTGTTTTTGTGATAATTTTTTAAGATTTTCGAGAAAATGATATTTTTTAAACAAGGGGTAATTGCAAAAATGTCACTTTTTATAGATTTATAAAACTTATATCTTAAAATTCTAAACCCTAAAAAATGTTTTGACACCTAAAACCCCTAAACACTCAAAACTAAACCCTAATATAACATAGTTAACCCAAATTATATAATAAAAAAATAATTTTGAAAAAGTAGCATTTTTATAAAAATTTCAAAAGTGTGGCATTTTTGTAAAATGGCATTTGAAAAATAACATTTTTTTGAATTATTCTTTAAACAAATGGTATTTTTGCCAATTTTCTCATATAATAATGCTGCATGCATGTATGTAAATTACTAAATGATAGAATTTGGCATTATAAGAGGTTGATCGAGACCCGAGATCAGATAATGGAGATGACTGAAATGGACAAGTTTATGTTCATCCTATTCATTATCTTCATTTGGTTCACATAAATTCCCACATTTTTTTTTCGTATTTAAAATATTCTTTCTAGCCCACAAATAAATAAATAGTTTCCATTTTCTCACTAAATATTTTATAACTTGTTAAAATAAATAGTTTTTGGATGCCAGTGTCCACAGTTTAGTCTAGTCACCCAAAAGAGCAAACGTCAAATAAAATAGGCAAACTGTATCAAATGATTCTTTTAGAGTAATAAACTTTATTTTAATGTAAATTAATTAACATTAAGATAAGAGACTTTAGTTGAAGTCTAAAAGCCAATCTTTATCATGTTGTTTGGTCTGAAACTTCAGAGTTTTTTTTTCTACTGTAAATGACTAATTATCTGATCTCGATGGTACCGATGAAATTATACGGACAAAAATTTAACCGAATTTTTATTTAAAATCAATTGGCTCAGTTAAAGTTCAAACCAAACTGAAATTGAACTAATAAACTGTAGCCCAAGTCTCAGACCAGAAACCGTAATGAACAAGACACGAAAACGAAAAAAGGAGAAAGAAGACCAAAGAGTGTAATAGCTTAAGTAACATTGAGTTTAGTTCTCTTATTGATTCAGATGCTTATTGATGAAGAGAAAAGATTTGTTTTAGACATTAGGAGGTGGCCAAATCTTCCCAAAAAGTTCTTCAACGTTTTTCGCTTGTTTCACATAACCTTCGACTCCAGCTGATAAAAGCTCCACTGATGCAGGACCCATAGCTGACGCTAAGCTTAGCTGGTCCCATTTGACCAGCTAATCCAGAATCAAACAAAACATGTTAGACACTGGTTTAGCTAAACCAGAAGTGTTGGTTAGGTTCAGAACTAACCTCTTTGTTGGTGAAGTTGTAGTGTGTGGCGGTTTCAGGAGAAAGTTTCCGAACGAATGAGTATTTTTCATCGTCGGGAATGGTGGGTGAGTCTTTGAGAGATTGCAGTACCTTTAATGGTGCAATGACATAATCAACCC